TGTTTCTTAATTGCAATGGGTATATTGATTAGCATATTATACTCCAAAGTTGCAAGGCCTGGGTGCTGTTTCTGGCACATATTCACAGCACATTACTTCACATCTACAAGTCTAAATGTGTATATACATCTGCAAGTGAAAATTTTCACATCTATAAAATGTTTATGCCATCAATGCCTCCTTGATAAGTTTATGGCAGGATTAAAGAGACAAAGTACTGGGCACACAGTATGGCAATTTATAAACATTCAATACATGACACATAGGTAGTTTTAGTTCTTATTTATAGTTATACTTAAAATGTAAGCATATGTAAAATATATATACATATATGTTAACGTGCACACATTCACATAATCTCAAGAAAAACATAATGATCAAACAGTGAGCCAGTGTTTATTCAATTGATTGTAATTAGAAGACTGTCTTCACAGAATCTTAGAAATATTTCAAAATAGGAAAATTCCAAAAATGTATTTATTTGGCTTTAGATTCAAGACTGGATGATTTAAAGGACAGTCTGAAAGAGAAAGGAATTGTTTGAGATGGTCAAGTTTGACATGATATTTTTGGATTGGACACCACCGAGAGGAGAGGGCCTACATGGGAGACTTGGTGAACGCACTATTAAAACTGACAAATAATCTGCTTAGTTGTTTTACATGTGTTTCAGGAATAGTTATTTCCTGGAACAAGTTGATAAGTTATTTTTTAATGGTTATTAGCATTGTTTAGCACAGAGCTAGGAAATATTATGTTGCCTACATTTTTATCTCTTTCTCTCCATATATTCAAATTATCATGCCTTGTTAATTTGAACTTAAAGTTCAGTTCACTATAATCTGTGATAACTAAGTTATATTTTTCAGTTCATTAATAAATGTGTATTTAAAACACATCAACAAACTGACCGTCATTGAAACACAGGATAGTTTGCAGAGTCACTATTGAGTGTTTGTGTTTATGCTATTCTCTAGTTAGTTAGTATATTTTTAGAAAGCTATTGCCTATGTGGAATTTGATTATGTTATTTTAAAGGATGTTTCTTAAACTATAGTCACCTAGGATTGTTTTTTCTCTCTTAAAGATACTAGAAGCAATCTAACTGAAATAGCAATGCAAGTGACAGGTAGGCCAAGCTGGGGACCCAGGAGACCATGTTTCAATCCCTTGATGAGCCAAAATAATTTAACAGGAACCAATAAGTATCTTCTTGCTATTCAGCTGTAGAATTAAGAGGTTAAAATATATTAATCTTTATTCTATTCTATGCTTTTGCTATAAAAATTTAATTTTTTTCCTTTTTATTTCATCATAATATGGGGTACAAATATTGCCCTTGCCATTCCTCATCCGACCCCACCTCACCATGTCAGAGCTTTAAGTGTGTCCATCCTCTAGGTGGTGCACATCACACTCATTATGTAAGTATACACCCATCCCTTTCTTCCCCCTCCCACCTGTCCACCACCTGATAAAAGTTTTTTTTGTTTTTTTTTGACATTTTGGTTACATTTGATATCTTTGCCTCTCCCTAGCAAGGATTAGAGGTATGCCCTTCCCCTCTACAATGCTCGCCACTTCTCTAAGATGTGGGTCTCCTCCCACCCCCGAATCCATGGTGAATACTACTATCATTTGAGCACCATAGTTTTAATCAGTTAGTACCAATTTGATGACGAGTAGATGTGGAGCCCATTTTCCTGATTTTGTGTCACCTCACTTTGGATAACAGGCTTAAACTTAATCCAGGATAGCATAAACAGTGCTAGCTCACTGTTGTTTCTTAGAATTGAGTAATATTCCATTGTGAGCATATACCAAATTTTGATTATCCACTCATGAATTGAAAGGCACTTGGGTTGTTTCCATGTCTTTGCAATAGTCGACTGTGCTGCCATAAACATTTGTGTGCAGATGTCTTTATAATAGAATGTCTTATGCTCTTTTGGGTAGATGCCTAACAATGCTATTGCTGTGTCAAATGGTATTTCTATTTCCAGCTGTTTGAGGTATCACCAAATTCTTTTCCAAAAAGGTTGCACTAATTTGCAGTCCCACCAGCAATGTAAGAGTGTTCCTATCTCTCAACATCCTTGCCAGTATTTGTTGTTTTGGGATTTCTCGATACAGGCCATTCTCACTGGAGTTAGGTGGTATCTCATTGTGATTTTGATTTGCATTTCTCTGATGATTAGAGATGTTGATTAGATGATTAGAGATTTTTTTTTATGTCTGCAGGCCATTATTCTGTCTTCTTTGGAGAAGTTTCTGTTTATTTCTGTTACCCATTTCTTGATGGGATTGTTTGATTTTTTTCTTGTTAATTGTTTTGAGTTCTAGATAGATTCATTCTGTCAATAGATGAAGAAAAAGCATTTGACAAAGTCCAACACACCTTTATGATAAAAACTCTTAACAAAATAGACATAGACAGCTCATATATTAAATTAATCAAATCCATTTATGACAAACCCACTGCTAATATCATTCTGAATGGGGAAAAATTGAAAATTTTCCCTTTTTGAACCAGAACTAGACAAGGATGCCCCCTATCTCCTCTTTTATTCAATACAGTGCTTGAAGTCCTAGCTATAGCAATCAGGCAAGAGGAGGGTATTAAGGGAATCTAAGTGGGGGCAAATGAGATCAAACTCTCACTCTTCACCGATGATGTGATATTATACCTAGAAAATGCCATGGATTCATCCAAGAGACTCCTAGATTTGATAAATCAATTTGGTAAAGTTTCAGGTTACAAAATCAATATACACAAATCAGAAGCATTCATATATTGCAAGAACCATCAAGCAGAAGCTCAAATCAAAAACACAATACCCTTTACTATAGCCCCAAAGAAAATTAAATATCTAGGCGTATATTTAAAGAAAGATACGAAAGATTTACACAAGGAGAACTATGAAACACGAAAAAAAGGAATTGCAGATGATGTAAACAAATGGAAAAATCTACCTTGTTCATGGATTGGTAGAATCAATATCGTTAAAATGTCAATATTATCTAAAGTGATCTACAGAATTAATGCAATCCTCATCAAAGTACCACCAGCATTCTTTACAGATCTAGAAAAAAATCATTCTTCCCTTTTTATGGAACCAGAAAAAACCTCATATAGCCTAAGCAATCCTAAGTAAAAAGAACAAACTGGGAAGCATAATCTTCCTGACTTCAAGCTGTACTATAAAGCAATAATAGTTAAATCAACCTGGAACTGGCACAAGAACAGAAGTATCGATATTTGGAATAGAACTGAGATACCAGAGATGAAACCATCAGAATATGGTAACCTAATCTTTGATAAAGCAGACAAAAATATACAATGGGGAAAAGAATCTCTCTTCAGTAAATCGTGTTGGGAAAACTGGATAGCTACATGCAGAAGATTGAATCAGGATCCCTACCTCTCATCTCTCACAAAAGTCCACTCAAGATGGATAACAAATTTAAACCTAAGGCATGAAACCTTAAGAATCCTAGAAGATGTTGGGAAAACCCTATCAGACATTGGTCTAGGCAATGAATTTTTGAGGAAGACCCCCAAGGCAATCACTGCAGCATCAAAAATAAACAAATGGGATCTGATCAAATTAAAAAAGTTTCTGCATAGCCAAGGAAACTATCATTAGAGCAAATAGAAAACCCACAGAATGGGAGAAGATATTTGTTCTCTACACTTCTGATAAAGGTCTAAAAACTTTTATTATTGCATGTTACTGAAACTATAATGAAGTGAAGGAAAGAAATTAGAATAAAAGGACTTGGAAGTTTTGGAGACATTTTTTAAAAAACTAGAACATTTTTTTTTAATCAGTGAAAGTATATTTATTATATCTAATGTATATTATATATAATTTTTAAAACCATATAAGGTAACACACTAAGAAGAGCAGAAAGAGGCCATGTGATCGACGGTTAGGTCGCAGAAGTGGCTCTGTATTTTGCCCCTGGGAGAGTAAGAAAGGTTGCCAAGGGACCCCAGGCCTGGGGCTGGACAGAGCGCCTGTTTCTATAGGACCTAGAGGGAAAGCCAGGGGCGCGTTTGTTTTTTTTTTTGGGGGGGGGGCAAACAACGATCCGTCTTTATTAGGAAGGAAACAACCGACTACCCCAGGCAGTCTTTTTAAGCTGGGGAGGGCAGGGCAGTGCAGGGCCGGCCACCAGCCTTACAGTTCAGAAGTATTTAGTGACACCCAATGCCCACGACTGGGTGAGAGCACGAAACAGCAAGTGTTAACAGAGCAGAGAGGAGGTCCCAGGGCTACCCACCCACTTCCGTTGTCAGCCTGGCCCTGAGCCAAGCAAGGCACAGACACCCCTGGCCCCAGAGGACAAGGCGAGAAGCCACACAGGGCTCCCCACGCAGCCCTCTGTGCGGATGCCGGCTCTCCCTCAAACCCTCCGGCCCAGGCCAGGGCCCAGCCGCACGCTCACGGGAGGGGTGAGCATTTTGGCTGTCACAGGGTAAGCCTGAACAGGATCCAGGGTGGCCGCCAAAGCTACAGGTCTGAGGAGAGGCAACCCTGAAAGCTGTTTAGGCAGAGGAATCACAGAGAAGCCCCCCTTGTCTTCGAACTCCACCCCTTGGAGTGTTAGTGGCCTTGAGACCCCTCCCCTTCAGTGGTAGAGCCTGGCCTGCAAGCCACCTAGTCCCCTTCCCAAGCAGGCACAGAGTAAGTGCTGGTCCCCTTCTTCCCCCGTGACCACCCACACCCAGATGAAACAAGCAAGCCCAGGAGCCCCCTCCACCCTGCCCAGTGCGTGGCTCCAGGACAAGCCAAGCCCTCGGGCTGCTGCCACCACGGCACCCCTAAGCCTGGGCCCCCGCTGCTGTTGAAACATACATATTCCTGTTCCCTTGACCCGTAAGAACCAGGCTGTCTACGCCCAAGTCTTGCTCCCCAACACAGCAGTAAGAAGCTGTCCCACGAAACAGGAGGGGTGCCAAGGCCCCCCCCCCCACACCACCAGCTTGTTCCTGGCTAGGAGTTGCTCTTGGCGGCCGTGTCTGCATGGGCCTGGTACCCGATGACGGTCTTTGCGGAGAGGCCCAAATACTCTTTGTAGACACGCCCGGTGTGCAGGACGGCCTCCTGGATTTCCGCCTTCCAGGTCCACACGGCAATCTTGTCCTCGTTGGTGCAGATGCTGACCACGGCCCCGCACACCTCGCCGCCGTGTTCCTCGAAGCTCTCCCCTATCAGACACAGCAGTGTGGCGCTGCTTCTTGGCCAGGCTGACCAGCCAGCGGCCACCCTGCCTGTTCCTGCCGTCTTCCCACGTGGGCTCGATGCCGTCCTTGAACAGGGCGTAGTCGCAGCCAGGAGAGAGCTTTCTGGCCAGCTTGCTGTGACTGTACAACGCCCAGAAGTCCTCCACGGTGTGGACCTTGGTGACCAGCTGCAGGTTGTCCCGCCAGGCCCGGCTGCTGCTGTTCTTTAAGAACCACAGGGCCCACCTGTTCTGCAGTAGGTGCAGCTCGGGCGTGGCCCCTGCACAGCCGTCTGCCCCGGGCTCGCCCACAAGAGGCGTCCTGGGAGAGCTCAGAGCCTCGCCTCCTGCAGCCCCCCCTGCGGTCTCCTCTTCCTCCTCCTCCTCTTCCTCCTTTTCCTCCTTCTCCTCGCCCCACTTTTGGATTCCACCCTCAGCTTCACTCACCTGACCAAAGAAAGGCGTCAGGGTGGGCTGTGAGCCTGGCTCCGGCTGTCCCCAGGTGGACTCACAGGGCTGGCGGTGGCCATGCCGGGCTCAGGCTCGGGCTCCATGGAGCTTTTTCGTTGTTGTTAACCCAAAGGCAAGATGAAAATCATAAAAATTCTTTGAATACTGTGTCTTTCTTTTAAAAGTTGCAATGTATAACATGCCCATAATTGGTAAACATAGGTACCTGGAGCTGTATAAATCATCAAATCACATAATATAGTCATAGAAAAAGTGAGAAACAGATCTCTCAATATTACTAAATGTAGCAGCACTTAAAGTAAGCCAAGTAAAACATCTTTTTAATTTTAAATTGTGTGTTTGGGTCATGCTGAGAAAAGTGATATCATATTGACAATAGGCAAAGCACAGGTATAAAATATTCTAGGAGAAAGGTGAAGTTCTTATTATATTATTCCTAGACAGCAATTATCAAGTCACACACATACACTCAATAATCAGTTTTCCCATTGATAGATGTGTTCCACAAACCTATTTCCTTTTCTATTGAAATGTTAAATAATAGAAACTAATTGCATTAGTTCCAGAAGGTGGTTTCAATAATTGGAAAACAAAGATATTCCCAGTGCATTTGTGTTGTTTACTAATACTATATTTTTAATTCTTACGATTATTTACTTGTATTTCTGCAGGGTGTATAAAATGCAACCATTTCATTCTTATGTTGAAATAATGAGAATACACGATAGCATTGAAGAACACAGTGTGGAGAAAGGAGAAATAAAGAGAGAATCAGTGTGAGAGAAAAGGAAGGGCCAAAGGGAAAATAAAATTCATCCTAGAATCCCACTTACATAAGCTTAATCAACTTTTATTACTAGTTCTACAGACCAAATCTCTCACAATGTCAAAATTTGGCACTTTATGAAGATTCTGACTCAATAATCAATTAATGAACTCCTGAATCTGTACAATGTTTCATGTGAATACCATCTATTCTAGAACATTAATTTCTGGCCTCTTGCCTTAATTCAAGCCTATCCCTGGTTATACTGAGATTTCAGCCCCAGTAATAAGCTCTGTCCCATTGTTATGTCCATATTTATAGCAGTAATTATATTTATTACAGGTTTCCCTAAATCCGACCTTAATCTATTTTCTGAACGTTGAGTATTCCAAGTTTTTATGCCTCATAAATAAAATCCAATGGAAATACCATTTTAAAATATGGTAACTATTTACATGTTTGTTTTCCTCATAACTGTCTTTAGCTAATAAGAATAAAATTTCACATATAAATGGCTGTATCCCCAAGAATTTACATGTCACTGTTTGACATTACGAGTTCACATTCCTAAATTATGTACAAGATACCCATTCACTTAAATACATGTATTCACTATTAGTGTCTATATTTTTTGAAATGGCTTATACTCTAAAATCTAGATAAAATCTAACTTTTAGAAAAATGTGTAGACCTTTTCACAGAATTTTTTAAATCCCACACGCTGTATTTCCATTTATGACATCTGCCTCAATAAATAGTTGCCATGTAATGTTCACTTTTCCCATTTATGTACCATCTAGTTAATCTGTTTGTAAGCCATGACATGCATAAAAGTAGTTTAACATGCTGGAAAACTTTATTCTCAACCAATTTCTTTTTCTTTGTGAAAAATTAAGGAATGTAATTATTATTAATAAATATTATTACTATTGCTTGTTTCTTCTATCAGCACTATTAACTCAGTTTAAAGACTCATAACTTTTTTATTTGTTATCAAAACAGCCTATACACTCTTTTTTTTCACACTTAAGACCCTTCCTTCTTCAAGCAAAGTGTTTTAGTACTCTATCTAAACTACAGTTTAAAGCATTTTTTTTTTTTTTTGGTTTTATTTCGGGTTTTTATTTATTTATTTTTTTTTGAGAGACAGGGTCTCACTCTGTTCCCCAGGCTGGAGAGCAATGGTGAGATGATAGCTCACAGTAGCTTTGAGCTCCTGGGCTCTAGTGATAAATTATGTGATCCTTCTACTTAGAAAGAGCAGTGATTTCAGATTATCTAGAAGAGAACACTAGGATTCACTAAAGAAGTAATGGGAAGCAGCAAATATGTGTAAGGAGAGGATTCAGGGCAACTTGCCTAGCTAGGGACTGGCTAAGAGCTGGGAGAAAGATCCTGGATGTGAGGAAATAGGAAGAGAAAGTTCCCAGGGCTCCACACTCTGAGAAAAGCTTTTATGATCTTGGTTATAAGAGAATACCACAATCCACACAGATCTTGGGCCAAACTTAGGGAGCTGCTTGGAGATTGCACAGAAATGTTACTCCAAAAGAGGAATTCATGTAGAATCCCACAAGCATCCAAGCCTAGCAACTTGAACAGGTGCCATTCAGAAAGGCTACATACTGGGAAACTATGGGCATACTTGCAGTCCCTGCACAGCTCTGAGGAAGGATAAAGGAGTGCAGGCACTCCCATGTACCCCTGGGAAGGTCCCCATTGCCCTGCTGTGGGCTGTAGTTGAGACTGAAATCTGAGCAGACAGTATCTTCCACAATTACTTGCTCATGCTGATTGCCTATGGGGGGCCCCAGCCTTTTCAGTTATAGGCCCAAGGCACCATTTTAGACATTTAAAATAAAGCAGCACCCTGCCCTCAGGCTGAGTTTGGGCTGACACAGCTACAGATGCTGCCCTCATGAGGAGGGATGAGGATCCCAAGCTCTCCTGTGTATATATTAGTACAATTCCCACTGCCTTGCTATGCAATGGGCTGCTGTGATACCAAGATATGAGCAGACAGCACTCCCCCAGCATCTTGCCCACACTATTTGTATAGCAGAGTCCCCATCCTCTCTGGATTATTCCTCAAGGAATAATTGATGAAAATTTCCTAAAACTAGTAAGATAATTATATCTCAGACAAGAAGGTCTAATGATCCTTATGCAGTACAGTGTAAAAAGGACTTCTCCATGATACCTCAAACAGCTAGAAATAGAAATACCATTTGACACAGCAATAGCATTGTTGGGCATCTACCCAAAAGAGCATAAGACATTCTATTACAAAGACATCTGCACCCGAATGTTTATAGCAGCACAATTCACTATCGCACAGTCATGGTCATGGAACAACCCAAGTGCCCTTCAATTCATGAGTGGATAATTAAAATGTGGTATATGCTCACAATGGAATATTATTCAATCCTAAGAAATGATAGTGAGATAGCACTGTTTATACTATCCTGGATTAAGCTCAAGACCGTTATCCAAAGTGAGGCAACACAAGACATGGAAAATGGGCCCCACATCTACTCACCATCAAATTGGTACTGACTGATTAAAACTATGGTGCTCAAATGGTGGTAATGTTTACCAGAGATTCCTGGGGTGTGGGGAGAGAGAGACCCAATCTTAGGGAAGTGGCGAGCATTGTGGAGGGAAAGGGCATAACTCTAACCCTTCTTAGGGAGAGGCAAAGATATACAATGTAACCAAAATGTCAAAACAAGCAAACAAACAAACTTTTTATCGGGTAGTGGGCAGGCAGGAGGGGGGAGGAGGAGAAGGGTGTGTACTTACATAATGTGTGTGGTGCGCACCACTGGGGGATTGGACACGCTAGAATCTCTGGCACATCGGGGGGAAGGAGGGGAGGCAGGGGCAATATTTATAACCCTAACAATATTTGTACCACCATAATATGATGAAATAAAAGGAAGAAAAAAATAAAAAACAAACAAAAAAGGACTTCTCCATTACATATTACAAGCAGAATGACTAAAGTCAAAGTGAAAGAAAAAATTTTTAAAAAGCAAGAAGAAAATAGCATCTAATCACCTATAAAGGAAACCCTATAATACTAACAGTGGACCTCTTAGCCAAAATTTTACAGGCCAGGAGAGAATAGGATGGTATTTTCTAAGTGATGAAAGAAAAATATTGTCAGTCAAGAATTTTATATCTTGCCAAAATAAGCTTCATAAATGAAGGAGAAATACAGTCTTTCCCAGATAAGTAAATATTTAGAGAACTCATCACCATTAGGCCAGCCCAAAGCAGTCATAATGGTAGAAATGAAAATTCAATATTCTCCATCATGAAAACACACACAAATATAAGAATCATAGGTCTTATAAAGTAATCACACAAAGGAGGAGGTATAAAGAAATTATACAGTAATATGACAGAAGTTCAGTGAACTGCAAAGACAAAAAGACAGAGAGAAAGAAATAAAGAATTTATAAAAAATCAACCAACAATATGGCAAGAACAAAGGCTCAAATATCAATATTAGCCTTGAATGTAAATGTATTAAATGCTCCACTGAAAAGATACAAATTGACAGAAAATGATCCAACTTGATGCTGCTTATAAGAAACCCAAATTACCCATAAGGACACACAGACTAAAAATAGAGGGGTATAAAAAGATATTTCACACAAAAAGAAACCAAAACCAAGCAGGAGTAACTACACTTATATCAGATAAAATAAACATTAAATCAAAAACAGTAAAAAAGGGGGGGGGGAAGCAGATCATTATATAATAATAAAGGAATCAATTCAGTAAGAGGATATAATGATCCTAAATATATATATGCACAAACATTGGAGCACCCAATTTCACAAAACAAATATTACTAGACCCAAAGAAAGAAATAGACAGCAGCACCATAAGAGTGGGGTACTTCAATACCTCACTCACAGCACTACATAGATAATTCCTTACTCATAGTGCTATAAAGATGATTGAGATAGAAAATCAACACAGAAACATTGGCACTAAATTGGATTTTAGACCAAATGGACTTAACAGTTACATACATCCCTTCCAAGAACAGATTATATATTCTTTTTATCACTACATAAAATATTCTCCAAGATAGATGACATTTTTGGCCACAAAACAAGTCTGAACAAATTTTAACAATCCAAATTATATCAAGTATCTTCTCAGACCACAGTGGAATACAGCCAAAAATCAGTACAAGGAGGAACTTTAGAAACTATACAAATATGCGGAAATTAAAGAACATGCTCTTGAACAATCACTGGCTTAATGAAGAAATAAATATGGAAATTAAAAAACAATTTA